AGAAGAAGAAGAAGAAGAAGAAGAAGAAGAAGAAGAAGAAGAAGAAGAAGAAGGAGAAGAAGAAGGAGAAGAAGAAAAAGAAGAAAAGAAGAAGAAGTAGAAGAATAAGGAGGAGGAGGAAGAGGAGGAGGAGGAGGGGGAGGAGGAGATGGAGGTTGAGGAGATGAGCACCCAGCTCTACAAGGCTTATTCTGCTCACATCTCTAGCCTCAACCGCACAAAGTCTGCTTAGACTATCAAGGCACCCGGGAAAAAGCAGTTCACAAGAGAGTGACAAATGCACGAAAGAAGTAGAGGAAAAAATGACGATAGTAAGGATGAGGAAAGAAAAAGCAGCAGTTCCCCCTATGTCGTTCCAGTATAGTATGAGTATGACAATGATAAATCAGCCCATTTACATTTCTGCTGTGCATAAGAAGACGTTAATACGGCCTAAAGACAACTTTAGTCAGTAGCACTGCCCTGGTCGAGGGAGTTCCTATTTTGCAAACTCTTCATCTTTTGTTTGTACTTGTCTGCCCTCGTTACGAGAAGATACAGACGCCCTGCTCTTCCCAGGGCACAATATTCATCTTCTTGCGTCGAAGGTCTCTTATCAGGAGCAGCCGGATAGCCAAACTGCATTTCAAGGAGACGATTTGAGAATGCCTCCAAAACAGGAGTACCAGTACCAGTATTATTAGCTTCCTCTCACTCCCCCTCTAAGAGGATCGCATGGAAGTCTGTGGAGGACTGTTTGTTTATCAAGATGGTTAATTCCTCTTTTGCAAAATCCTGCCATTAAGTTTTGATCCTGCTTTGGTAGCTGCTTGTAAAAGAATATATCCTGTCTTCCCCTGGTATCTTTGATCGAAATTGTAACATGCTCTTTGTCAAGAATCCTCTTGACGCTTATGCGCAGGTCTAGGGTGTCATAAGGAAAACCCCTCTCTGAACTGAAGACTGGCCGTGTCCTGATAATATGACAGAACAATCTGGCCTCCAGGAGATGGTTGACTTTCAGCCTCGGGGTTCAATTCCAAATATCTTTGAAACACTTTGTGTATGTTTCTGTACTTTGCACATACACTCTTCTGGGAACTGCCGGCAGCATGTTTGTCCTGTGCTTTTTAGAGGACACCATCAGAAGTTTTATCGTATACTCGTGCCCTAGACTTCGGTTTGTGTAGCTTCGTAGCATGTTGTCTATACAATGTTTAAAAGATCTGGAAAAAAGGCAACAACAAAAAAACCGTGTAAAAATGATTGCTGATACTCTTGGTTAAAAATTATTTTAAACAATATTAATTGCAATTTGTCCAGTCACTGGTTTCCTTTTTTAAGATGTGACAGGAAGATCAAGGGTTCCTGATAATTGAACGAAAACAAGTGCCGGTCGGTACCGTTAGCCAAATAGGCCTATGACAAATTCGTGTTCATAATCAACAAATGATCTGACTGTCTTAGAGCCTAATCTTCACCTCAAAACATTTTAAGTGCAGTAGATTAGGAGGTACTCACCTCCAAAAGTTTGAAAGAACCTTGCAGAAGTTGATTTCAAGTGCCGATAAGATATTATGTTCATGTAAATTTACCACAAATTGATTACACGTTTTTTAGATTTTAGATAATGCATTTCAAAATGACTACAAATCACTTTTGATATATATATTATACAAAAAAATAATATTAAAATTATCAATACATTTTCCCCAGTTACTTGCGTTTAGTCACCCTGAATGCCTGAGTCACCCCAGTTTTGTAGGCTTATGCTAAATAAGCCTAATAATTTGACCATAAGCCTTATGGTCAAATTATTAGGCCTAGGCCTATTTAAACAATTGTTTGCTTGTGGTTTTTAGAAAGTAGGCGTATTCACGATCTTCCGGCACTATACCAGAATGAGACGAAAGGTGTTTCCTTTTCTTTATTAGTATAAGTCATTTCTTATTAGTGTGTTTCTGCTATTATAGGCCATATTATATTACCATGAAAAAAGTTCCTGTTTTTTGTTTATATTAAAATTGTTTGTTTTTTTAAAAGCGTGTTAGCCTCTAAACTCGATCTGCCGTGTTCTTTTTGGTTGAAAGTGCGACCTTCTGCGAGCCTCGCAGTTTATTTTGACAACATCCTGTGGCTGAATGCAGTCAACACGAACTCTTACCTGACCCCATATTCAGTATTCAGTTCTCAGGGCCCTGGAAATAAGGGCTGTCAAAACAAGCTATTTTGTACCAACCAGTGTGTGTCACTTTTGAAAACGAAGTGTAAGCAGTAAAATGTGGGGGGAGAAAGATAACCTAATAAAAGAATATATGTCTACCTCTGCCTTCACAACCACCAGCTCCTCATTATTCTTTTTTTCTTCCTCTTCCTCTTCCTCTTCCTCTTCCTCTTCCTCTTCCTCTTCTTCTTCTTCTTCTTCTTCTTCTTCTTCTTCTTCTTCTTC